GGGGGTCGGGAGCGGCGCGGGCCCGGGGCCCAGGGGACTGAGCCTTGTTTCCTGCAGACGTGAACGAGTGTGACCTGAACCCCAACATCTGCCTGCACGGCGAGTGCGAGAACACCAAGGGCTCTTTCATCTGCCACTGCCAGCTCGGCTACTTCGTCCGCAAGGGCACCACGGGCTGCACAGGTGGGCACCGTGCCAGCCTGGGCGGGGGGCTGGGTCTGCGCAGGAATTGGAGCAAAGTGATTTATATCCCGCCTCTCCTCCAGCCATACACTGGTCACCCCACTGTGCGCCCCCACTACCCTGGGGATCACCCCACTGTGCGCCCCCACTCCCCGGGGGTCACCCCACTGTGCGCCCCCACTACCCTGGGGATCACCCCACTGTGCTCCCCCACTGCCCTGGGGGTCACCCCACTGTGCGCCCCCACTACCCTGGGGATCACCCCACTGTGCTCCCCCACTGCCCTGGGGGTCACCCCACTGTGCGCCCCCACTACCCTGGGGATCACCCCACTGTGCTCCCCCACTGCCCTGGGGGTCACCCCACTGTGCGCCCCCACTACCCTGGGGATCACCCCACTGTGCTCCCCCACTGCCCTGGGGGTCACCCCACTGTGCGCCCCCACTACCCTGGGGATCACCCCGCTGTGCTCCCCCACTACCCTGGGGGTCACCCTGCTGTGTGCCCCCACTCCCCGGGGGTCACCCTGCTGTGTGTCCCCACTCCCTGGGGGTCACCCCGCTGTGCGCCCCCACTGCCCTGGGGGTCACCCCACTGTGTGCCCCCACTCCCCGGGGGGGGTCACCCCACCGTGCGCCTCCACTCCCCTGAGGGTCACCCCACCATGCACCTCCACTGCTCTGGGGGTCACCCCGCTGTGCGCCCCCACTCCGCTGAGGGTCACCCCACTGTGCATCTCCACTGCCTCAGGGGGTCCTGGGAGGGCCTGGCTGGCTCAGGGCTCCTGTCCTTCCTCTCGGCAGATATTGACGAGTGTGAGATCGGGGCTCACAACTGCGACGCGCACGCCTCCTGCATCAACGTGCCCGGAAGCTTCAAGTGCAAGTGCCGCACTGGCTGGCTCGGGGACGGGCTCAAATGCAACGGTGAGTTGGAGCAGCTCCCCGCACCCGGCCGTGTGCAGCCCTAGAGACGTTCCAGGACCACAGGGCCGAGTGTGCACGTGTGTGTCAGTGTCAGCATCTCCCGGCAGAGCAGGTCTGTGCCAGCCTGTTGGTGTCTCACAGGCAGCGGGTGGGTCTGTGCACACGTCTCATTGTCTGATGGGCAGTGCTTGTGTGTCAGTGCCTCAGGAAACACTTCTGTGTGCACACGCATCAGTATCTCACCAGTGGTGTGTGTCTGTTCGCACGTGTCAGTGTCTCACCAGTGGTGTGTGTCTGTGCACACATGTCCGCGTCTCACCAACGGTGTGTGTCCATGCACACGTGTCCGCGTCTCACCAACAGTGTGTGTCCATGCACGTGTCCGCGTCTCACCAACGGTGTGTGTCTGTGCACACACGTCTACGTCTCACCAGTGGTGTGTGTCCGTGTACACGCGTCCGCGTCTCACCAACGGTGTGTGTCCATGCACACGCGTCCGCGTCTCACCAACGGTGTGTGTCCATGCACACGCGTCCGTGTCTCACCAGTGGTGTGTGTCCGTGCACACGTGTCCACGTCTCACCAGCAGGTGAGCGTGGCTGAGTGTCTCGCAGCTGTGGCGCTGTGCTTGCTAGCTGTCACCATGCCAGCAAGCAGAGGAAGGAGCCTGGGGGCTGCAGCCCAGCCTGTGACCCCCGTGCTGCCCTGGGCTCTCCCCACAGACCTGGATGAATGTGCCACTGAGGAGCACAAGTGCAACCTGAACGCGTGTCCACGTCTCACCAGCAGGTGAGCGTGGCTGAGTGTCTCGCAGCTGTGGCGCTGTGCTTGCTAGCTGTCACCATGCCAGCAAGCAGAGGAAGGAGCCTGGGGGCTGCAGCCCAGCCTGTGACCCCCGTGCTGCCCTGGGCTCTCCCCACAGACCTGGATGAATGTGCCACTGAGGAGCACAAGTGCAACCTGAACGCCAACTGTGTGAACACGCCCGGCTCCTATCGCTGCGCCTGCCGCGAGGGCTTCTCTGGCGACGGTTCCTCCTGCCCAGGTACCGGCTGGGCGC